ATTCCTGCTGTTCCAATGTCTGGCACAGATGCAGAACTCCATGTTCTGCGGGACAGCAGGAGTTAGAAAAGCTGTAGCAGTGCTATCTGAATGTCCTCCTACACCCTCAGCTGCTCCCAGGCTTTGCTGTACCTATTCCACCCTATCTGGCATAGATAGGAAATTTTGGGAGCAAACACTTGTCTTGTTTTACGCAGAGGTCAAGGCAGTAATCCTGACAGTTACCTCTGTGCTACTGTAATGCAAATTGTAAGAGACTGTATTTGTTTTCAAATGCAGTCACCTGCTAGACCTTTCATCCTGCTGCTGGCATTGTAGCATTTGTGCTGTCTGGAGAGAAGACTTTAACTAAACCAATTAACTACATTATTCTCCCTGCAGAAAATACGCAGCCATTTCCTCTTCGGAGCAGCGTCAGAGTTACAAAAATGACTTCAATGCAGAGTACAACGAGTACAGAGACTTGCACGCCCGGATAGAGAGGATAACTCGACGGTTTACGCAGTTAGACGCCAAGCTGAAGCAGCTTTTGCAGGGCTCTGAAGAATATAAGGTAGAAACAGAAATATATCTTTTGAAAAGCTAGTTCTGCAAGCGGCAACGCTACAACTCGTTTTAATCGCTCTGTATGCGGGGCTCTTTGGGATGGCTTGGTGTCTAAAACGTACTGCCCGGAGCCCAGAACGGGTGGATGCAGAACGTGCACAGAGCTGACAGCTTTGTAGACTGTTCTTAAAACAGCTCTGTGTTCTTTCGTTTTCACGCTGGAGCACACATCATGGTACTTGTTGACAAGGAAAGGCCTCAGTGAGACAATTGGCGTCTTTAGCCAAAAGCTGCTGGAAGCTATTAGTGTATCCCAGCCAGAAAACTCATATTTGCACATATGGTAGCATATCGGGGCTGGAAGGGGAGTTAGTACGGGGTCATCTGTTTCTCTGGAATCTTTGATCTTAATAATGTAGCATTATCTGACTTGTCAGACTGATTTTAAAAGAGCTTTAACTATTCATTATCTTGAGAAAGTAAGTCTCATGGAGTATAATAAACAGATTTTTACAGAGCACCTATTGTACTAAGCACTGTTTCCCCCCTCAAACATCCTTCCCCTCGCTTTGAGAAATCCAGTGATTCCTCACTGAATTATTTTTATATCTTGGGGAAAAATTAGCCTGAGCTTTGGAGGATATGTCAGTTATCCTGCCAACCCAAGTGCCTGTTACAGGTAGTTATCCTGGCTGGGGAATGGGGCCTGATCCTTCCAGTGCTTCCGGTATCAGCACCGGTATAGTCATGGAGTCAGCGAGGCTGGGTGTAGCCATCAGATCTCATGGGGGAAATTGTGGAGGGAGTAGATTTTTGTCAGTATTTGGAGGAAATACGTGCGTTGAGCCATCAGTAAATGCTTGCCTACTGCAGTAGGTTGCAGGACTGTTGGCTCTTTTGAAAATAATAAGCTATTTTTTCCTTTTTTAGACCATCCATGATCAAATTTTACAGGAATATCGGAAAATTAAAAAGGTAAGTAAAAATAGTCGGCCACAAAAAAGGCTTTTGGGTGGTGCCCCTAGCGTGACTGAAAGAGATGGGTCCTTGCCAAGTGAAAAGCCCCGTCGCTGAGGCATTCTAGCAGATCTTTGTTCAGCTCGAGCTTGTGCAAAAAGTGGTCCCTTCCTGGATCAGAAAGGGTTTGAGGGGGAGCTGAGACTGCCTCTCGGATCCTGGGGAGCATTCAGCTGTGTTAGTGGCATGCTAGCACAAGAATGAATGTGTTAAATTAGTGCCTTTATCCCGTCAAGTGAAAGAACAGTTTGTATTTCAGACGCAGAGGCTGAGTGATGACAGCATCCTCCAGATCTTGGGGTCTGCTGGTCTCTGGGGTGCGATTTGAGGGCAGTCACTACTGTGAATCACTTGGGTACATCGTTCCCTGCGGGGCTTTTTGATGTGTGGGGCACGCCGGATACTTTGCATCTCTGTATATATATGTAAAGCACCCGTAGACCAGGGGTGGTTTGGGTTTTGGTTTTTTAAATCTGTTAATATGGTCCTGAGCCATGTTGTCCTGAGGGATTTAGGAGCTTTTTGAAGAGATTCCCTGTGTGTTGCAAGTTCATCTTTGTTTTAAAGCTCCCAGGCTTGCACAATTCGGTGCTGACGTGAGGGCAAAGGGCAGGTGATGCTTGCTGGAAGGTAATGCCTGTGGCCCAGCTGCTCCGAGTTAGGCTGAGCCTCGCTCAAGGTGCACTGCTTTCCCTGTGACGAGGCTCCTGGAGCTGAGTATTGATGAAAAGGGATTTTGTTCTTTGCCTTGTTTGGACAGAGTAGGTCCGTTTAAAAACGGACCTATCTGCTCCTCCAGCTAGAAGAGCTTCATTCCTTGGTCGTGTATTTGTGCCCTGAGGTCTGGTAGCCTCGTCTGGGCTCAGCGTAGGTGTCACCGAGTTGTGAAGAGCTGCCTTCCGTCACTCCGTTTTCATTTTTCTTCACAGACTAACCCCAATTACAGCCAAGAGAAGAACCGCTGCGAATACCTCCACAACAAACTGGCTCATATTAAAAAACTGATAGCAGAGTATGACCAACAGCAGTTTTAGCTGACACTAATCTGGACTGGGTAGGGCAAAAAAAAAAAAAGTCACCTGGACGTTACGTTCCCTTTTATACAACTAGATTCCTTTCAGAGACGAGCATTAATTTCTCGTGGTTGAAGAACTTGGGGATCACTTACGATGCCGAATCTGTCATGTCCACGTCTGAGCCGGGTCGCAAGCCCAGCGCCCGGCACGGTCCTCTTGAGTTTTAGCCTCTCTGAATGTCGGAATGTAACAAATGAAAAAATCCGCTTATTTGAAGCCAGCGTTTGACTCTTAAGGGAAAACTTGCCTAAGTGAACGAAGCTCCCAAAGGTTAAGAATCAGTAGTTTTCATGGATTAAAGTTTGGCATGAAGTGTAATTACCCCTGGCCCAGGTCCACTGGGTTACAAATTGTCCTTCAAATGGTGAGGAACTGGAATGCTGCTAGGTTACCTCCTTCTCTGGCACCTGCGACTGTTCATATGCAAGCTGTCTGCTCTACATGGCACCGCGTTAAATACACCAAGTACCCAGAGCTCTCGTTGTTTGTTCCTGCTTTTGTCATCTCCGGTGTGTGCTCTCTCGAGGTGGTTGTGTCAGTAGGAGGGGATCAGCCCGGGGATCTGCACCGAGTGCCTTGTGCAGTGCAGAGGTGGATCCCTTGTGTCAAAAAAAAAAAAAAAAAAAAAAAAAGAAAGAAAAAGAAAAACCACACACAAAAAAAAAAACCCCAACCATACCACAAAAAAAAGAAACCCAATTTTTTTATCTGCTTGTGCGTTTGGAAGCAGCGGGCGTAAACGTTTTGCAGTGGCCTCTCCAGCATGCGTGGTCCGGTCTGCCTGCATTAACCTTCACGCACCAGTGCTGGGAAGATTGAGACCTGTCTGTCTTTGACTTTTATAATTTTATACCAAGGCAGCCAATTTTATTAATTGCTAATGAGACTATGGTCTATTTTTGTACAAAAAAAAAAAGCATCTTTTTCTAAAACTGTGCCTCCCTTTTCCTTTTAGGCCAAGTGTTTCAGAACCTTTCCTGTCTTATACCTTCAGTATTACTAAAGCTTATCGGATAGTTACCCAGACAAGTTATTTTATTACCTGTACTGACCCATAAGAGAGGAGGGGGTGGGAGGGCGGGGGATGCGATGCTTTCTTCTTCTTTTTTTTGTGTATTTCCAAAGAAGCAGCAGCAGAAAATCGTTCTCGGAACAGGCGCCCGAGCGTGAGAGAAGTAAGGTAGCCTTTTCCCATGCGGGTCACTTCCACTGTTGTGCTTTATCTCGCCAGCTTCTCGGTGCGGGCTTTCTTCTTGATTTTTTTTTTTTTTTTTTGGACTTGAAGGGAACATTTTTAGAGTATGGCCAGGGTGTGAGAAACACTCCAAAAAGCACAAAGGTGTCCTTTAACTCTGCTATTTCTTTCTTTCCCCTCTCCCCTTTTAATCCTGCCAGCCTGTGTGATTTGACTTCTTCCCGCTTCCGTTTATCTCAAAGTAAAGGATTACTTTCCTGTGGCGTCTCCTTCCCTTGGAGGTTGCACTGAAGAGTCTTTCACCCTTTGAAGGAGTGGAATGGCAGAGTTAAGAAGGGAAACAGTTCTTATACAAGGAGTATTTTTTTTTTTCCTGCCCCCCCTCAAGTGGGTCCATCTGCTGTATTAAAAAAAGAAAAAAAAATAATAATTCCATTCTGGCTAGATTGGTTCTGCTGGGTTGTCCGGCCAGGGCCACCGCTTTGCTTTGTCACTTGCAGTGTTCCGAGTTTCCCTCCCTGCCGTGTTGCATCCAGCCCTCACCAGGACTTTGCCATCCCGTTCTTCAAATGAAAGCCTACGGCTGAAGGGACGCGGCTGAGCTGCCCGTTACCGGCCTGGTGACCTTCTGGCCGTGGTCCACGGACTGCCACTGGACAGCCACGTTTTTCTACTGGTCTGCAAAACCAAACCTGTTCAGAAGCGGAGCGGTGAAGGAGAAGGGGGGAAGAGGTGTGATGTCCGAGGAGCACGGTGGTCCGTAGGGTGAGCCCCCTGGAGAGCCTCGCTAGGGAAGTCCCGACGAGCATCTCGGGGCTTGGGGAATGCTTCGGTCCTGTCTTTTCCCCTCTAAATAAAGAGGACTGGAGGTTAGGGAGCTCTTTCTCTTGCGGGCACACCCGGTTGTGTAACGCTGCCTGCCTCTGGTGCTCCTGTTCGTCAGGGAACGCTGGAAAATACCTGAGTGTTCAAGGCAAGGAGCTTTTGTCCAGAAAACTTTGTCCTCCTGCTCGGTGCGGTCTTGCCACCTGGTCGGTGTACGAATTTCTTCAACAGTGAGCGGTGGCTGGTGGTGATGTCCAAGCTCAAGCCTGGCTGGGGCTCCGATTCCAACAAACGTCCCATAGCTGTGAATTTGTGCACCGAGGCGGATTTCACCGGAGCCACAGGGATCTGGGAGGGGGCATTAGGCTTCGTGGAGGAACCGGGCTGTGCCACGCTTTCTCGGACCCGCTGTGAGATTTGTCACTGCAAAACCCAGTCAATGCCAGACCTGCGAGCGGCAGCGCCGGCCGGCGGTTACCAATTCGGTGTTCTCGGTGGCAAGGCTGAATTGCCCAGCGCCCACCCGGCAGCGCGCTGAGCCGCGGGGCTTGGTGGGACTTCATCTCCGACTGCGATGCGCGAGGAGCCCGAAATTTGGGTGGTGAAGGAGGCAGGGGCTACAAACGCAGGATGAGTAAATTCTTCCGTGGAAACACTTCTCCTCCTGATCCTTAATATTTTGAATGGGGTCTTTTTTTGTTGCTTTGGGGGGGAGGGGGATAGAGATGGATCTCAATCTTTATACATCTGCTATAAGATATTTTTGCAAACAGAGTTGTATACAAAGATGTATTGTGTACATTTACATGTATATTCTGGAACTTCTAAAATTTGAATATAAAAACTGAAAATATTTAATGAATATCCAAACTGTGAGACCCAATTAGCATTCAACAACTTTCTGCTTCACTTTTCTTTTGGACTGTGTTAAAGAATTGTAGTCGAATCTGCCTTTTTTTTTTTTCTCTTTTCTTTTTAGAGATTATGAAGCTAGGCAAATTTTGTGCTTTTTGGGTTAATAGAAACCAGTTCTAGGTGATTAAGTATGATCTTAACTTATTGATACTGTGTTTTACTTTGTAATATTGTACTGTGGATAAAACTATATTGAGCCATGGAGTTGGAGTTTACAAAAGAGCTTTTCACTTTGCCAAAATGTTACAATTTAAAGGCAGCATAGTCTTCAGCTTTCCTAATCTTTTCTTAAGAGCTAGTGTCTTTTTTGTACACTAAAAAGCTGAATGCTGATTTTGCAACATATAATAAATTCACTGTATTGGAAAACAAGCAGACAATAAGGTTGTATATTTCTTTTCAGTGCTTCTTACTGCAAGGAAACTCAAAAGGGAAAGGTGATAAATGGCTGGCGTGGAGTTTGAAAGCAGGAAACTTAAAGGAACCAAGTCGGTTGAGTGAGTTAAAGTATCAGAGCAGTAGGTAAGAAACAGGAGAGGGAAAAGGTGCTTGGTGGGGGCCATCCATTTTCTAGGCGCTTGCCGCTTACGGGAAGAGTCCTCACCCGGGAACGCCGCTGCGGAGCAGCCTTGCCCTTGGGGATCCTTTCTGGTGCTCCGGTGGGATCGGCCTGTCTGTCCGTTGGCAGGAGCCGGGGGTCTTCCCGCTCCAACAGCATTAGCACCCAGGGTGTTTTCTGGGGCGAAAGCTGCTTTTGAAAAGGCACCCATAGCCGGTGGAGGTTGAGAGGGGATTCTCTGAGCCCGGGAGGGCTTGGAGGTGGTGTTGGCCAGCAAGGTCCTCGCTGCTTGCCCCGGGATCGGCGATGCTGGAGCTTCCTAGGTGATGGTGGCTCTTTCTGATGGCACGTTGCTCCCGGGGAGGGTCCGGACCTGGTTCAGGTGCCTCCCCTCGGGTACTCCGCATCTGCGGAAAGGGCTGCTGCGTTTCTCTCCTGGTGAGCTGAGGTGGGTTTGACGTCTGAGCTGGCTGGCGTCGGGGGTGACTCAAGTCCGTGGGGAGCTGGAGCGGGGATGTTGATGCTGCCAGAGCAGCGAGGTGGGGATGAGCCTGGCATAGACACTGCGCTGCTCGTCCACGCTGCTGGAGCTCCTACCTCCGCCCGCGGGTCTGAATCATCCGGCTAAAGCGGAGGATACAAATAGCATCTGGGCTGTATCGAGACTTTGTCCCTTTTTTTCTGTTGTCACGATGGCTGCTTGCTCTGGTCCTGGCTTCTGCAGCATCCCTGGGACTGCCGCTTGCTGTGGCTGGAGCAGGCAAAATAAAAGAGAGTGTAAAAAACACTCTAGTAACTGCCCGGTAGCAGAATATCCTCTGAATAAGCTCTTTTCCTTCAGAAGTTGCTGTGCTGCCCTTTGGGATCCCCTCTAACAGCGGGTGAGAGGCACAGGTTCACTGGCCTTGAGACGGAAAGTGCTGGCAGTAGGTCTTGTCTGATCCCCCCGTGTACGTAAGGAGCCCGTGTTCCTCTGCCTAGCGCGGGGTTCTGGATTCTGCCTCCAAAATAGCAAAGTATGGAGAAGGTGAAAATAATCCAGTGATTAAGTAACACACCTTTTTTTTTTTTTTTTTTAAAGGTAGAGGGGCACAGGGAGGGCTCTGCTCGGTCCTGTCTCACCAGCCTTGACCTTGGAGCTGATACAACAGCATGAGCACCCACGCGGGGAAGCGATGCTCCCTCGGCCGGCGAGGGTTTGCTCCCATGGGACACTCGCTTATGGAGCAAGAGCCAGAGGCGTTGGGTGAGCTGATGCTCTTGCAAATCCCCAAATCATTAGGTTTTTAGTTTCAAATGCTGCCTCTGAGCCAAGCCACACGCCCCAGGGCCCTATTTTACCATCTTTAATTCCTTACTTGTGTGAGCTTCGCCCCTGAGAGCCACCCTGGGGCCTTCATCTGATTAAAGGCTGAGTCCTGTCCCCAGGACCTGCGTGGGGACACGTACGGGGACACTCACACA